TTATTTATTAAATTAATGAAACATTCACGTGGTAGTAGATTATGGATTTCCTTTTTTTTTCTTTCTTTAAACTTTTAACCTCACAGAATATTTTTATAATTTTCTTTGGTATATAATATCTAATTCACATTTGTCAAAAAATTTTAAATTTATAATATTTAATAATTGGTTAAATGTAAAACTAAATAAATGTTAAAACGACTATTAATAAACTTGCCTAAAGTAACAATAATGCAAACTCATTAAAAACTTTTTATCCAGCATTTAGTTTTAAAATGTACTTTTAACACTTCGATGAAATAATATTTCTCAATAATTGCTCAAACATTCGTTTTTTTTCTTCTAGACGTTTCCAAAGATAAATAAATCTGCAGAGCGTGAAATGTATAGTTAAACTCAATACTTACATGGCAACCAAGGCAAGTTAACATCAATTGGTACTGCAAATTTATAAGTGAAACAATTATATAATGATTATTCTAAGTTTTTTTTTTAAATTATTACTTCTATCAGCTTGAGCCCAAGGAACTTCAACTTTTGCCCAGTCTAATGGTCCACATATAGCAACAGCGATCAAGTTCGATGATATTAAAACAATTGAAGTTGGGATAAGAAAGATCAACATTTTATACAACCTAAAGAAAGGATTCTATAAGGTGACTTTTAATGTAACTTTTGCGGAATTGCCGCTCGGGTAAATAATGTAGATTGTTTGTTGAGGCGTACATATCTTAATCCTATGATTATAATCAAATGACATTTACGTAAAGTCTGCAAATTTAACGATAAATTATAAACTTATGCATACAAGTATTTATTTAGATATACTTATTGAAATAATTAAAATTCTATTAACGTGTCTACGTCTATTTAAGGACATTGAAAAAGGTAACAAGTAGAATGTGCATATTATTTTTTGATTTTTAAATCAGAGTTCGGCGATACAAGTAGAGTGTATGCAAACTATGGAATTTGTTTATGTAGAGTATACGTACAGTCTACGTATACCTGTACTCTATTAGTCTACGTATACCAAAATTGGTCGAACGCTATTTACGGAGGCCCCACCCTAGGGTGACGGGCAACCGTATTGGATTTGCCCAAAAATTTCAAAAAATTTTCTTTGCTTAATT